TGAAGGATTCTCTTGAAGCTTCTGTGTCTACCTCTCAGCTTCCAAGTCAGGAGCCAGTTCATGTACCCGCCTCCTCCTCTCATCCGAGGATTCGCAGACACGGACTATGAAAAAGAAGGAACAGAGAACAGCCCCAGAGTCAGAGCAGAGGGGTCAGTGGGGTGTTAACCCAGCACGTTCCAGAGAGGGCTGGGCGCAGGCCCTGCAGGTGAGGAGAGAGAGGAAATGAGGCAGCTTGCTGACCTGGGGGAACGTGGTGCCCACCTGCTCAGACTCAGATACCAGCTGTTTTCTGTAGAGGATGTGGGGGATTCCCCTCAACCTTCACCCCCAAAAAAAGAGACAGAGGGAACCAGGTTACCCCTGGCATGCAAACAGTGCATTCTGGGATCAAGACTCAAAGCAAAGTGGTCCCCGCTTACTCCACCCCCAAGCCAGGCCCACCGTCACTTCATTCTCAGACATGAGATATCCCAGCTGGGTGAGAATGTCTGAAAAACAGGACCAAAGGCCCAGATAAACAGTGGAAAGAATGAGTCCCAGACGACGCAGATTATTATTCAGTAAACAGAGAAACCCAAACAAACCTCCAGCTGACATCAGGCGGTGCAGCCACCCTAACAAGAACAGCATGGCCACAGAAGAGGGGGTGCAGGGAGCTGCCCTTGGAAAGAGGACATCTCGTTCCTGAAACGTGAAATAAAAGATGCTGAAAGATGAAACCGAGGAAACCTCTCAGTGCAGCGAAGAAACGCACAAAATCTCAACTGGGAGAAATGCCAAGCCTGACCGAGGACACACAGGGATGGACGCACGCGCTCAGTTGCGATTCCAGGAAGAGAGGATGCAGAAGCTAAATGACAAAACCCCACAAGATCAAACTCTGCCCGAAGATGGAGCAGGCTGGCCCGTGACCCCGAGGACAGAGCAGGCTGACCCATGACCCCGAGGATGGAACAGGCTGGCCCGTGACCCCGAGGACGAGGACAGAGCAGGCTGGCCCACATCTACAGGGCAGCAGGCAGTGTCTTCTCCACAAGTGGGCTCGAATGGTCAATATTTGAGGTAGCAGCTAAGTGCTTAACCACTGCACCATCAAGGTGCCTGATAAGAAGCGGGAAGAGATCGGGGGTGGGGGGGGCAGACAGAAACCATCTGGGCCAGAGGCATGGATCCCTAGAATGTCTCACCCTGAGACCTGTGCTGGGAAATCTTGGAGTTGTGAGAAATGTCACATCCTGGAGTTCTCCAAACTGGGGAGATACTGAGGGCACAGGCAGGTGCCTGAAAAGGACCAAGCTCAGTGGCCTCCATGCCCACTGTCTCCCAGCACGGCGCTAACAGAGCTTCAGGTTTGGAGGGAGATGGATGCAGCGTGTATCTCATGTGCCATCAGACCTCCACACTTGACATTCACACCAACCACGTCATCAGGAGAGACTGGAGGACACACTCAAATAAGACAGGAAGAAGATCCAGTGCGATGTGGGAGCCAGCCACGAGAAGAGTGCTTGGGGAGGCAGGGAAGACAAGGGCCATCCAAGGAGGCCAGTGAGGCACTCAGTGGAGGGAACAGATAGATAATCTAACTCCAGAATGAAAGTAAAACACTCAGCTAATAGTGAGAAGGTGAGAAGTTCCAGACCACCCACAGTGGCACAGTGATGCACTGGCTGAGGGTCACCAAGGGTCATCAGGAAGAGCTTTGACCCCAGAGCTGACAGTGCTCAATATGTCGGTCATCTCAAGTGTAGGGATGAGAGGACACCTGGTTCACAGAGGAAACCTCTGCTGAGTGACAGGCTCTCAGCTTCCTGGTGAGAAGGTGACATGGAACCGCAGAGTCCACTTGGCTTCATGGCCTGGTGCCCGCTGAGCATACACAACCAAGCTGAGCCAGGCTCCACCTGAGCCCCTTGCTGCTGCTGTGGTCATTCCTAATGCCCGCGAGTGTGGCTCAGACACAACCCGTCTGCCCTGTCCTCTCTGTGCAGTCCACACCATGGCTGCCCACGTCGCTGGATGTCCTCCTCTTTATCACGGACCCTCTACTTTACCAAGCGTGACGTCATCCTCCAGGGTTGATCCCCCAATAGTACATCCAGAGTGAGGCAAAACCCGCCATCATGCTTCTCAGGAGTACCCTGGTTTTGCAGATGTGTTCTTTTGGCTGTACGTGGTATGGTCAGCACTCTTCACAAGCACAATGCAAAGGCATCAGTTCTTTGCTCTTCCTTATTCATGATGCAGCTTTTGCATGAGATAATGGGAAATTTGCTGGCATGGACAGACACCCCTTACTCCTTAAGGTAATATCCTTGCTCTTTAGCACTGTAGTGAAGGCCTTTGCTTTCTTGGTGCTGCTTTCACAAGTGTTGATTGCCGAGCCCCTAAAGGACATGAGCTGAGTCCCGTCTGGCCTAGGCTGTGCTTGGCATCACGTTTCACTGGACTACATGAAATTCTTAGCAGGCTCGCACTGGCCCAAGGGCAGTGTGGCTGGCCTTAAATTGCCCCTTTGAGTGATAAGACGGAGTCATTACCATCACCACTTCCTCCTTCCACCTGAGGCTAAAGTAACACAGCAGGACACAATTGTGTCCAGGTGAATCCAGGCCGGCAGGTTACAAGACTAAGGACACTCTCCAGCCCTGACCTCCCCTTCTTTTACAACATGGACGTTTTGTCCGTCTTGGACTTTTTTTGGTGCAAATTCTTTTTTTTTTTTTCAGAACATTGCACCAGAATATGACCTGCGGTTGCACACCCTTTTCCATATGTGCTTTGGACCACGTCGTGCTTCCCTCAGCCTCTCTAGGTCCTGGATTGGACGATGTGAGAGAGTCTGGGGGTTGGGAGTCGGGCCCAGGGGTGTGAGCTCAAGTTACTGATTGAAGAAGTGGGGAGCAGGGGTGATTTGAAGGAGCCCAGTTAATCCTTTTTTGACTGAGGAAGAGAAAAAAGGTATTTTTGTTGTGCAATGAGTCATGTGTAAGGCAGGCCCTTGTGTCTGGCCTTAGTCATTGCGCTCCTGGTGGAGGCACAGGACAGTGTAGAGCTGAACTAAGATGGTGGCAGAGGTGACACAGATCGACTAGAAGGGAGCAGGAGGCAGAGAGGACAGCAGCCCCACAGAAGTGGCCACACTCGGTCCCCACAGCCTTTTTGAGTGAGGCTGGCTTGCTTGAGTGCAAGATCTCAAGGGTAGGACAAAGTGCCCTGACCATCAGCCGAGAAGTGGTAAACTCATGTGAAGACCACGCAGGGTCTGGGCTGGGGTCCTTGGACCTGGTCCTCAAGGACCAAGGCCCGGGAGGCATGGAAGAGGGCTTCTCCATGACTGGAGCTGTCTCCAGTCATGAACCATGTCTGGGGTCCCCTTGAGCCACGATCTTAGCCAGCTGTGTCAAACCATGTTCCCTCTTCTTGGGCACCACCTCTTCCCCAAGGCCTGGAGCCTGGAAGCTGTTCCCAGCCCTCCTGGAGGATACTTCTTATCTAGTCTGATGGACAGGGAAGAGTTCTTATTATCAGTGCTCTATCCTGCAGAGTTCCTCTGACCAGGTTATCAGAGAGCTGGTGTAAGACACCTCACCTGAGGCAGTGGGATCTACCTTCCTTCCCACTTGTGTTTAAACAAAGTGCCACAAAGCAAAGTCCACTGCCGGGCTCATAGGACTCCCAGGATTCCTTCAGGACAGAGCACAACTGCCTGTGGGGCTCCCTAGCCACCATCTTTGCAGAGTGGAAGGCTTCCCTTTCTCCTAGAGATCCGCGGGTGGTCTTGAGCCACCAAGCAGCCCAGTGCTTAACTCACTGACCTGACAGGGCTCCTGGAGCAAGAGTCAAAGAGCCAAAAACTAAGGCAGCTTTGAATGTCAAAATCCAAACAAAGGCAAAATTAAATGCCAGGAGGTTTAAGGAAAGATGAGGGTGACTGTCCAGAGTCAGGACAGAGAAGCAGTGTGCAGGCCAGGAAGAGGGGTCTGCACAGGAACACAGATTCCAGGATGAAGGGAAATGAGTTAGGACAGGACAGACCCTGGAGGCTCCTTCCTGAGCATCATGGCACCTTGGGAAGGTCACCAGGGGGCTTGCAACCTGGGGGCTCCAAGGGAAGACTGGCAGTCATCGCCCACGTGACTTACAGCCTCAGAAACTAGAAATCAGAACTGACACAAGAAAACTAATTTGAGTTCGGTTTTGGTGTTTTTTTGTGTGTTTGTTTGTTTGTTTGAATGTGAGGGGTAACACCAGCAATCTAATGTGGAAGAGGGTCCCTATGAGACTGGGAGTTGACAGGAACTGGATGAGGGCCCCCAGACTACTCCCAGAGCTGGAGTGCTAGCTGGCATGTGACCGGTCCCAGTGTCCACCACAGCCAGCCGAAGGTGGTTTCCTGGGCACCATCAGTTGGGGGGAATGATACACCTCAACAGGGCTAGACCACCTCCATCTGTGCCCACCTGCACTGGCCAGACTCTGCTGCCCCTGGGCCCCCTCTGGGTGCCACTCTGACCTCTGATGGGACAGGACCATAGGACGATTTCTGTGGGTGACAGGAGTAGAGGGCTGGGTCCTGCTCGGGTGGATATACCCTGAGTTTGGCAGAAGCCACCAGACACTGGCCTGGCTGTCCTTCCAGGACAAGGCTCCTCTGGGCCTGCAGACCTTGGCCCTGCTGTGGGCCAGACTGGCCCCTGCTTCTGGGGCCACACCATGGGCTCTGTAGGGATGGGGGTTCTGGGTTTCAATGCAGCTTCTCACGAGAACCAGGACTTTACTACTCGCCAGCCTGTGCTGACAGCTGTGCCCAGCCCTGTGGACACACCCTTAGGACAGGCCCTCTCTGCCCCTCCCACAGCCCCTGGGTTACTCATTGAGTATGGAGGGTGGGGCCCAGAATGTTGGGCCAAAGGGCCTCTCCACCAGACACATGCGGGTACCTGGAGCCCTGACCAGCCATCTGTGTCTGTGCTCAGGTAGCGGCAGGACGCAAAATGTGGAGCGGCTGGTGGCTGTGGGCCCTGGTGGCTGTCTGCACTGCAGCAGACACGTTCCTGGAGGAGGCCAAGAGGATCATGCAGGACACTCCCGTAATCGATGGGTGAGCCCCCTCCCACCTCCCTGACCACTGGTTCCTCAGGCAGCCGGGGATATTTGGGACCTTGGACTTTTCTGAGGTCTCTCATGGCCCTAAAGTATCAGCAAACAGGGTCTGTTGCAAAGGGACAGGGAACGGGCCCCCAGCATCAGTCCCTCAACAGGGGTCAACTCTCACCCCATACGCACCTGGGGCTCTACCCTGCTCAGAGGTGGTGGTGGGTGGCTGGAGTCAGTGGTGTGGGTGCTGGGGTCAGTTGGGGGGTATGGAGCTGGGATCAGTGGTGCAGCCAAGTTTATCTCTGAAGGACATAAACGATACCTAGGGCTCTATTTCTTCCTGTAAGCTGAGGTCCCTATGGGGCTGCCCCTCCTTGCCCCGAGACACCCCTCGGTCTTCACATCCTACCCCAGTGGGCTGCCCCTACCCCATCTGGCACCCTAGGGTCTGTATGTATGCCTACCCACCTCCACATTGACGCTTGATACTTTAAATCTTCCAAATCAAGGTCCTGCCTCACACTTCCCCATGCAGCCTGCTTTTGGTTGCCATGGTCAGTCCATCACAACTCCTAACTTCACTCCTGAGCACACTTCCTCTGCCTCCTTCAGCTCTTCAGACTCTTCTCACAGCCCCCTACCCCCTCAGGGCTGTGATGAGGACACTACTCCGTGACCCCTCCTGGCCACCACTGTAAACACCAAGCCCCCACCAGTCACATTGGAAGGGCCTGCCTGGTGTGGGCTCAACCTTATCTTCTGCAGGAGGACAAGGGCCTGCAAGAAAAGGAGGTGGCTGGTGCACCCTTAGGGCCTCAGTACAGGGCCAGCCCTAGAAGAGGCTGTTTCCTTCCTCATCCTGGACCCTCTTCAGTTCCCTTCCTCCTCCAGGCGTCACAGGAGGGGGACAAGGCCTGGACAGCCCATAGGTGCCTCTGGAGTAACTGCAGCAGGAGGACAGGTCTGGGTCACCCAGGACAATGAGGACAGGGGAGAAGCCAGCTGCAGAGTGGGGGTGAGGGGACGCTTTCATGCTAGGTGCCCCTAGGGGCAGATAGGCACAGGGAAGGGGTTTGAGCTCAGGTGCTGGGGGCTGTTCCCCTTAAGAGGGAAGACGGCTGAACAGCCCATCCAGGGGCTCAGAGGCTGAGGTTTGGACCTGTGGCACTGCCCCGAGAACTAGAAAGTAAGACTATCCAACAGAGCTACTGCCTACTTGCAGCTGGTCAGTCAGCGTAAGCTGCTCTGACAGGTGAGCTGAGGGCAGTCCAACGTTCTGTAATGGCAAGTGAGCACCATTCCTGTCCTCACCTCACAGTTTGAGATGGCTGCCCCAGCTCCAGCCATCACATCCTCATGTCAGCCAGAAGAGAGGAGGAAGGGGTAAAGAAAGGGCCAAGGGTGGGCAGCAGCTGTCTTCTGAGGGCAGCTGTAGCACTGTCTTGGGACAGAATGTTATCACTTGGTCACACCTGGCTATGAAAGACTGAGGAGAGTCCTGTTTTTAAGTGGTCCCATGCCCTGTTGAGGACAGTATGCCCACATAGCTGGCTGTTCTAGCACTTTGCAGGCTTCTCTGCACCCTGGCTCTCCCTGAAGATGACCTGAGATTCCCAGTGAGGCTGGCTCACAACCTCACCCCTTTGCTTCGTGGGCTTCTGGGAGGGGTGTTGTCTGGGAGACCTGCCCCTGAGTTGGGCCAGGGGAGAGGAGATGCTTTGCCCTGGGGTCTGCACCCCATTCCTGGAAGGTGCGGACAGGTGTCCCATAGAAGAGCCGGAGTTCTGGGCCAAAGGAGTAAAGTCCCTTGTACAGAACTGGCCTCACCCACAGTATCGAGGCCATGACCTGGCGGCTATAACCTGGCAGGACTGAGCAGAGCAGGTCTTCACTCACCTACTCCAGCCTGAGTGTGCCTGGCGCTTGGGTGGGGCAGGGGAAAGCCCGGCTCTGCTCGCAGCTTCAAGGCTGAAACACAGCAGCTTTCACTGTCCAGCGGGAGAGTGAGGCAGGGTCAGACTCAGGAGCCCTCAGGAAAGTAAGGTCAGGGAGGAGATAAATAGATGAGTGTCTCTAGGAGTGAGGAAAGCGGGGTCAAGGAGGGGTAAGTTGAGGCAGGGGTGTGGGGGTCAGGGAGGGAGAGGGGGTGAGTGTCCCTCAGAGGTGTAGACAGGGTTGGGCTCCAGGAGGGAGAGAGGGTGTCTCTCAGGGGAGTGGACAGGGTTGGAATCCAGCAGGGAGAGGGGATGAATGTCTCCCAGTGGTCTGGGCAGGGTGGGGTCCAGAACGGGAAGGTGGGAGAGCAGGTAGATCTGCTTCTGTTGTCCACACACCAGGAAGGGCTGGGGAGGCATCCCTGCCTCTCCTCTTCCCTGCTAAGGGACGTCAGTATCTTGGAAGCAGAGTGGTGACCCTTGGGGTGGACAATCCCACCTAGGAAAGTGCGCGCTGAGGAGGTTCCTATAGGCTGACCAGAACCCCCACTTCCCTAGCCTGCTCCCCACAAAGTAATTTTACCATTTGTATTCTCACTAAAAAGCTGTCAGATGTCCACTGAGAGGAGTATGGCTGGCCAGCCAGATCTCAGCCCATTGTGTCCATTAGGGAAGACACCTGAGCTTGGCTGCTTGGCTGCCTGGCAGGAGGGTGCTCAGTGCAGAGAGCTGAGGCCAGCCACAGAGACCCAGGTTCTCGGTGCCAGCCACTGTCCTGTCCTGCCTCTCTGGCCCCTCAGGCACAATGACCTGCCATGGCAACTGCTCAAAATGTTCAACAATCAGCTACAGAACAAGAGTGCAGACCTCAACACCCTCAACAACACCCACACCAACATTGAGAAGCTGAGGGCAGGCCGCGTGGGTGCCCAGGTGCGCCTCCCCTCCCCCCTCCTTTCAGGACTCACTACATCCACCCCACCCCAGGGCACCTCCCCATGCCCTCCCTCATGACTCGCTACAACCACTGAGCCCATCCCAGGGTCCCCCACACCTTCTCTCAGGACTCGCTAGAATACAGCACCCCATTTGGTGGCAGGTACATCCTGAACCACAGCCACCACTGGCCCTCAGAGGGTTCCATGCCCTCAGGGCCGAGAGCCAGGGACCTGAGCCCCTGTGAGGCTGTTCCTAGGCCCCGGTCTTCCCTCCAGTTCTGGTCTGCATACACACCCTGTGATACCCAAAACAAAGACGCAGTCAAGAGGACGCTGGAGCAGATGGACGTGGTCCACCGCATGTGCCAGCTGTACCCAGAGACCTTTGTGTGCGTCACCAACAGCTCAGGTGTGTGCCTAAGGGTCTGGGCCCAAGTGGGGCCTCCATCTGTTGAGTGCTGGCTGTAGCTTGAGGCCAACCTGCCCACGTGTCTCTCTCCTAGGCATCAGGCAGGCCTTCCAGGAGGGCAAGGTGGCCAGTCTCATCGGCGTGGAGGGCGGACACTCCATCGACAGCAGCCTGGGTGTCCTGCGGGCGCTTTACCACCTGGGCATGCGCTACCTGACCCTCACCCACAGCTGCAACACACCCTGGTCAGTTACCCACCCACAGGCCTCCAGGCAGCCATGGGGCCCTGCTAACCAGTGCCCACGCCTGCCAGGCCTTGTAGCACACCGAGACCCCACTCTGCTCCCCAGGGCTGACAACTGGCTGGTGGACAGAGGAGATGACGACGCCCACAGTCAGGGTCTGTCACCATTTGGGCAGGTGAGTTGGGAGGGGACCACCTAGAGAAGGCAGAAGGTAGGAGTTAGCTGAACAACCCAGAATGCTCAGAAATTGCTTTCCTATCTGTAAAATGGAGGCAGTCACCACCCTTGAAGGGAAAGGATATGTCCACTTGGGCATCCTTGGTCACTGAAACACCATGAAGCCAGATGGCCTCGCTGGCCCCCAAACTCAGTCACTTAGAGCCCCACATCACCCTACTGGGCCCAGAAGCCCTCGCCCTGCTCTCTGGACCCATCCTCCTGCAGCTGGTGTTAAAGGAGCTGAACCGGCTGGGCGTCATGGTCGACCTGGCTCACGTGTCTGTGGCCACCATGAAGGCTGCACTGAACCAGTCCTTGGCCCCCGTCATCTTCAGCCACTCCTCGGCTTTTGCCCTCTGTCACCATAAAAGAAACGTTCCAGATGATGTGCTGCGGCTAGTGGTGAGGGGAGGACAGGGCATGGGAGCGGGGACAGGACCAGGGTAGGCAGCAGGAGTGGGGGATGGGTGGGTTGGGGGGACAGGGGTAGGGACAGGGCTGAAGTCTGGGACAGGCCTGGCCGAGTGGTGGGACAGAGACATGGACAGAGGTGGGGTGGAGACTCAGTGGAGTGGGGACATGGCTGGATGGGATGGAGATAGGGCTGGGACAAGAGGGACAGGAACTGGGTAGGGGATAGGAGTAGGGAACAGAGGTAGGGTAGGGAAACAGGAGCGGAGACATGGCTGGACTGGGGTCAGGCCTGGCATAGGGGATGGGGTGGAGACAAGGACAGGAGGTTGGGGAAACACTGGTGGGAGACAGGGCTGGGGACAAGGGAGGCAGATAAATGGTGTGAAGGACAAAGTCAGGAGACACGGGTGGGGAACAGAGGATGGTAGGACACAAGAGGTGAGGTAGAAGGGACAAGGACAGGTCGGGGAGGCAAGAGCAGGGTAGGTGCCGTCAGAAATGGACACAGGGGTGGGGAACAGAGAATGGGATGAAGGGGCCCTGCCCACCCTGAACATGAGTCCCCGTCCCACACAGAACCAAACAGGCAGCCTGGTGATGGTCAATTTCTACAATGAGTATGTGTCCTGTAATAGCAATGCCACCCTCTCCCAAGTAGCAGGTAAGTGGTGGCCTGTGGTCTGTGCTGAGCAGGGTTGGGGGCCAAATGGGGGACCCGGACTACACTTGCCTACTCCCTTACAGACCACCTGGACTACATCAAGAAAATAGCAGGTGCTGGGGCAGTAGGCTTCGGCGGGGACTACGACGGGGTTTCCAGGTGAGAGATGAGGCCATCGTGTCCTGGTCCAGAGGGGCTGGTGGGTCCCAAGGGGCTCACCACCATGGCCTGTCCCCTGCCTGCAGTCTGCCCAAGGGCCTGGAGGACGTCTCCAAGTACCCAGACCTGATCGCTGAGCTGTTGAAGCGGCAGTGGACAGAAGAGGAGGTCAGGGGGGCCTTAGCCAACAACCTCCTGCGTGTCTTCGAGGAAGTGGAGAAGGTGAGGCTGGGCAGCTGCCAGGCACTTTTCTCCCTTTCACCTGCAGGCAGGTGAGCACCTCCTGTCTGTCCCCAGGTGAGCCGTCACACACAAATACCTGAAGAGAAGCCCATCAGCCTGGACGAGCTGGAAGGCTCTTGCAGGACCACATACGGCTACTCGTCCGGCCCCAGCCTGCAGCACCAGGCCTGGGCCCTGCTGGCCACACCCTGCCTACTCCTGCTCAGCCAGCGTCTTCTCTGAGGCTTGGAAACCCGACACTGGTGGGGTCCTGAAGCCCACACTGCAGCTTAAGCCAGGGCCCAAGACCCTGGGGCCAGGCTGGCTCCAATGAAACCCAGGCTCTCTGGGGCAGGGATGCTGGACACATGGAACCACAATAAAGTCACTGCCCCTTCAAATCCTGTACTAGCTCCGAGTGGATGGGTGATTCATGTGGAAACGGGTCTTGACTGGATGTGGCCGTGGGAGTAGTCCCAGTCCTGGAAGGTTGAGGCAGGAAAGGCCTAGAAGCCGGAGACTTCGCACTGATTCTGCTCATGTGTCCCAGGCTAAGTACCACGAGGCCATCTGTGCCTGCGGTGTGGCCACACTAGACACATGAGCATACACATCCCCACAACACACCTAGACACACCCTCATGAGTCCCCTGACACATGCTATCACACTCTCCATATAAACCACCACTCACATCCACATAAATACAAGCAGACCACATACACACACGTGCGCACATCCACATAAACGTGCTCACATTGTTGTGTACCGTCTACTTGGAACCAACCCATAGCTCACTCTCCAGAGGGTTTTCAGAGGCAGTTAATCACGCAAGATTAAAAAAAAGCCCGCTTTTCCCATGAAGCAGCTGGTAGCCTCGAACCACATGCCTTCAGGACTGTAGTGCAGCTTCTCGCCACACCTCTAAATATATGCACACACGTGTAAATGTGTGCACAGCCCCCTCTTACATAAACACTCCTCTGTGGTGTAGTCTGTAGGGAGTCACACCGCTGGCCCAAAGGCAAGGGGCTCAAATACATTATCTCCTCCCCTGTGATACAGAGCCTCCAAAAACCCACCAGAGGGTCAGTTCTGACAAAGAGTTTGCAGTTCACACATAGCTAGGCACACATCTAGATACACGTGCACACACAGCCCTAGCCACACCCCCATACACGTCTGCATTCCCATTTACACACACCCCCACAATCACACAGCACAGAGGTACTCCTACATACCCCTAAGAACACCTGTGTACTCTCATGCACTCATTTACTAACCACACACACACCTGTCCATCTCAGCTCAGTGGACCCCACAGATCATCCCCCACCTCCATCAACCTGTCCAGTAGACTCTACCCAATTAACTGTCCAAGGCAGGGACCCAGCCCAGTACTTCCACTACTCCACAGACACTTTTTAGACCACCCTCCAGAGTGCAGGAAGGGGACTGGGCCTCCACTGAGTCCCCCCAGAGCACAGGAAGG